GGCCCTTTTTTGTCAAAAAAATTGCATGTATAGCCTTATGGAATTTTATAGAGTGCTGCTGGGGGCTGGGGGGGGGCAAAAACGGCCCATTGTTTGCTTATTTCTGCCCTCCCCAGCTCTCAGGAGCTCTCTGATAGCCCCCATAAGGCTATGCATGGCCATTTTGGTGAAGGGGGCGGGGCTTCGGGAGGCAAAAAATGCTGTATTCGATGTATAAGATGCACCCAGATTTTCAGCTTCTTTTTTTAGGAAAAAAGATGCGTCTTATACTCCGAAAAATACAGTAAATGTTGGATCTTGCAGGTACCAAAAAGATTCCAAAAAGGTGATGCCAAGTTAAAAAGGATATTGCACAGGAATTTGGATATTTTCTGGTAGTAATGTCTTTATTTAATTATATACTTAATATAATATACAACACTTAGGTATATTTTTTGTATGTAATATTGATTTCTACTTAAATGACTTAGTGCTTAACAAAGGATCATCCTTTTAGCCCCGTTGCCCTGGTTCTGAGAGGGACTGTTTGTTAGTCATTAGGGATATAGCCTTCTGTGGCGCCTCCATCTCAGGGCCAACTTGTTTCTGAGGCAGGCTGAAGCCAGATCTAGATGATCCAACAGGAAACTAATGTTTTCTAATATAAAATGATTCAAATGGAGAGAACTGGGCTTCTGCCTCTTAATTTCCTGAACGTAGCAGCAGCAGAAACTGCTGTTCCTGCCCTGATAAGAGAGCAGCAACTTGCCAGTCTCATTTTCGAATTATGGCACTGGACTACTGCGGGGAGGAAAATGGGAGGAAAGCACATCATTGGGGATGGGAGGAAAAGTGTTATGTAGTGCTGACAGATTGCTGTCACTTCATGCAATAAAGCTACATACTCTTAGAAACAAATTATTTTTCTTAGCCTTACATGGGAATAGCTCCCAAAATATTGTTGCCTTCATAAGTGTGCAAAACCCACCTTTGCTCCATTCTCGGACACTAATTACTTTTTTATATAACTCAAACCCAGATTTTAAATTCTAGGTCGTTGAACAAACTAATGTAGCTTGGTTTCCACATAATACTACAGAATAGTATAATATCCAGATTCACTCATCACATCAAAGAAAAAAAACAATTATATTATGGCTGAATGCATGAACATTGAGAATTCTTTTTCTTGAATTGTGCAGGGAATATTTCTGAAAAAGAAATTAGAACTTTTCCTTTAAGAGATAATGATCTAAAATTTTATCTTTTGAAGGCACATCTAAAAACCAATGTCTTTTTAATGTCAATCTGTAATAGGAAGGAACTGAAACAATGCTTTCCCATTGTGAAGCACTTTAATGATGCACAATATTAATATGTGTGATGCATATTTTGTTTTCAAGTAAGATTGTTTAAAGAAAAAGCCCATCATGGAAAGACCACAGTGTACATTACATGAACAGTTGGAGTTGCTACAAAATCATAACAGCTGTTTAAAAAGAAGAATCTGACATTTGCTCACTGTTATAGATGTTTGTTCCTAACAATAATGATGAATGATAGGTAATGCCAAAATATCACAATGTAAGTTTTGCCCTTTTTGTTTTTGCATTCCCACCATATGCAAGAATATGAGGAGCAGTATTTATCTTGTGGTGTTGTAAGATATTTTTAACTTCAGCAGACCTCCATATCAAATCATATCAAACCAACATTTCTGGCCATATCTCTGATAATAGTGAGCATTAGCCTAAATGCCCTGGTATTATCTGGTAAGTTGTGTATACGATATAGTATTTCCTAACTAATGCAAAACATATTTAAAATTTTGCATGCTATATTAGTGTTTCCACATGCATTAAATGTTGCAAACATTTAGTGCTACTGAATTAAATTGTTTCAAAAATTGTGTTAATGACTCATAAAGAAACTGAACAATTGTTCCCATGTCACTTTACTTCATTTTTAAAAAGCCACAAATCAATGTTTGCTAAACATAAGCCAGTACTGTGCTTTGTTCATGCATTTGCATGAATGTATCCCATAAATTGTGGAAACTGCTTCTGAGAAACATTTAAGATCTTCTGTTGTTTACATAAGTTTGCAAGTTAGTTCAAAACAATATTAAACAAGCAATTGCATTTCTGTGATTGCATTTTGATGGGATCTCCCAGAGAACTTATCTTATTCTTTGAGATAATGACTTGTATCATGATTGAATGTGACAGGCTGGCTGAGAGGCTGGTTTGGAAAGTCCTTGATCCTTTGTTCACTTGCTCAATATGCAGGCTATCTAATGGATATTGCTCTGATTGGCTTCCTGCAGATCATAAGCAGATAAACCATTAATTCAAAGAAATGGGAAAAGGGAGGGAGGGTAATTTAACTGCTCCCACCTTCCGAGGGCAAATGTACAAAAAATTTGCACATCTCTCAGAAGGAACAAGGAATGTAGCCAATCAATAGAGGAAATAAGCTAGAGAAATTCTGTCTTCTTGTATGAGAACAGGAATAATAGACACAGTGGGATACTAGCCACAATGCTTGTATTACTAGCAACAGACACCTGGAATGGAGAGATCACAAACAAAGAAGACTTTCATATTCTCCTGTGGTTTATGGAATCACCTGTCTTGTGAAATATACAATTTTCTGACACCAGTACATGCAAGACATTTTGGAATCTAATTTCAAGTTTACAGTAATAAGAGTGGTATGTCCCTTGTTAGGTGGCAGCATATGTCTGATCTTGGTGATCCCAAAAGCTAAGCTCTCCGATTGGTGGTGTCATTTTTTCCTTGGTATGCCATCTGCCCTACCCTTTGCAAGTTTTACATACTGTAGTTTTATTTCCTTCTAATCTCCTAAGACTAATTAGTTGGACTGGCATAGGTAGGCTGCTCTCTTGTGCATCCTAGCTTCAGAGGCTTCCATTTGGGATTTTTCCTCTCCAGTCCTGTCTTTTTTTTTTTTCCATTAATTTTGCCTTTTGCCCAAATGTTATAGTTGGAGATCTGGAGTGTGAGCGGTTTTTCTTAGTGCTTGTTTATCTACACTTTGGCTTCCTGTACAAGTGACTGATGTTATATTGTTGGAGTTGTGGCATTCCATGCCAGAATTACATCAATAATGCCACTGTGTGCATGTGGCCATTCCCTTCCAGAGAAGAGAATCAGTTCTCTGAATGTCTTCATCTTTGACATAATTATTCACAGGCAGAAACATATCAGATGGAGTTGAGAAAACCTGTTTTGATTTGATCTTTGCAAACTTCACTACAAAGGATTCACATGAACAAAAAATAGTATAAAGTAAGCTACTAGTAAAATAATATAAATGTTACTATTTATTTTTTTTAAATAATGCAACATAAGATTTTATTTTACACTAGTGGAATGGCATTTATATTCTTAACTCCATGCACTGTCTGCACATCCTATTTTATCTGCAATTCTGAATATTTGTGAGGGAAAGGCTGTACAGTTAGATTAAATAAAAGGATTGTGCAGTGTTCAAGAGTTCATTTCCAATGGTGTTTAGGAGTATGCAGGAGTACAAATTTAACACCTTAAGTTGTTGTGACTTTCCTTGTTATAAAATATTGCAGAGAGACCTTATGTGAAGACCAAAATGCTATGTACCTTTGTTAATACTTCATGTGCTATCTCAGAATAGATTTGTGGAGGTTGTCCTCTGGGTTCCTCTTCCATCAAAACAGAGATTGCTTCTACTCAACTGAGAAGGACCTTCAAAACAGAACATCCTTATTATTGTTAAGGCAGCAACCTAAACTTGTTCTATTTCCCTAATCCATTTCAACATGCAATAATCTGTATCATAAATAATCAATAAACACAGATAGTCCTCAGCATATGACAACAATTGTGCCCCAAATTTATGTTGCTGTGAGAAATTTGTTAAATGAGTTTGCTCCATTTTGCAATTTTTCTCACCACACTTGTTAAGTGAATCGCTGCATTTCTTAAATTAGTAACACGGTTGTTAAGTGAATCTGGTTTCCCCCTTGACTTTGCTTGCCAGGTCGCAAAAGGGGATCACATGACCCTGGGACACTGCAACTGTCATAAATGTGAGTTCAGTTTGTGGGGATGCTGCAATGGTTGTAAGTGTGAAAAATGGTCATAAGTCACTTTTTCAGTGCTGTTATAACTTTGAACACTCACTAAGTGAACTATTGTAAGTTGACGACTACCTGTAAATACAAATGCACTGTAACTGTTTCATGCACAAGCCCCTCCCACTCCCCAATATTCCCAAGATGCAGGCTTGGTTACTTGTTACTTGTCTTGTCCTTCCTTTGATCACGGTGTTTGTCTTTTCCAGGATGAGATTGAGGAACTACGTGCAGAGATGCTGGAGATGAGAGATGTCTACATGGAAGAAGATGTCTATCAGCTACAGGAGCTAAGGCAACAACTGGATCAAGCCAGTAAGACCTGTCGCATCTTACAGTATCGTTTGCGAAAAGCAGAGCGACGCAGCCTTCGTGTTGCCCAGACAGGCCAGGTGGATGGAGAATTCATCCATAGCCTTGAACAAGATGTCAAGGTGAGCCTGCATTTGCAATTCTTTTCTCCGTTAGAATGAAGAAGTCAGTTGAATGAAGCTGGGATATAAGAAGTTGCTTTCTCTTGTGTTAAACTATTGGTTTTGCAATATAAGGAATGGATTTCTACTATTTAGACCAGGGGTGTCAAACTCAAGGCCCGTGGGCCGGATCCAGCCCATGATGTGGTCAGATCCGGCCCCCGGGGCCATCCTGATCTACCCAATGTGAAGAGGAAAGATCGGGCCAGCGTGGCTTCGGCCCAGCCTACCCAGTGAGAAGAGAAAACATGCCAGCTGGCCACACCCACCCAGTCACACACACACACTGCCCAGCCCCCCCGAGGTCAACCACAGCCATGATGCGGCCCTCAGTGAAATTAGGTTTGACACCCTGATTTAGGCCATTGCCTATCCAGTCTAGTATTTGGTTGGCATCTATCCAAGATCTTAGACCAAAGGCTTTCTCCCGTCAAATGTCTG